CTGTTTAAGGATTTCTCTATGAGAAGGTATCTGCATCTCATGAACTCATTGTCTGTGCTTCTCTCACCCTGTGGACAAAGACTTTCAATGAGCAAGGCCAGTCTTGTGAGGCTCTGATGGCCAGAATCAGATCTAGATGAAGTCAAGACATCATGTCGAAAAATAAAGTATAATAATAATAATGATTTCTCAAACTGGCTGTTAGAAATTGTGTAGGTGCCAGAATGGTATTTTCACAGTTGCATTTTAAAAAGAAAGATAAATTTTGTCAGAAAGGTTGCTGTCTATAAAGATAGCTTCTGGCTTCCATGCCTTAATCTTTTGTTCTAGGGATTAAGATAGTGAACTAAAAATCATGTAAAACCTGAGGATTGAATAAGCAGTGTCTAAGATAAGAAAAAAATTAAAGATTTGTATGTCCTTCATGTGGGACAATTAAAGAGACAGTTTTTGGACTCTTGTTAGCTTCCCTTAATAAAACCCCCTTCCTGTCCATGTCTGGTTCCTATACACCTGCCTCCTGCCACCTAATTCAAACTTTTAAGTCCTTTTTGAGTTCTCTCTTCCCCTTACTCCCTTTTTTAATAAATCTTGAAACCCTATTCACCCTTACTTCATATTTTTTCATTTGTTACCCACCTAGTTCAAGATTTCATTTCCTCTTGTCTATAATAGCAAAACAACCTTCTAACTGAGCTCCCTGATTCCCAATGGCTCTCCATTCAGTGTAGCCTCTACATCATGACCACATTCACCTTCCCACAGACCATTTGATCATATCACTTCTTTGCTCCAAAACTTTCCAGGGAAGACTTAAACTGCATGGCTAGTTATTTGATTGATTCTGAATTGCTTTTCCAGGAATATTTCCTGAATTGCAAAACTAAGGAGGCACTCACACTCAGGTGCCTACCCTGCATGTAAATGCTCTTAAGAGTAAGGGCCTCTATAAATTCTTCACCCTAAGTGGCTAGCTGGCTCCACCCTGAGCTTCTATGGTATATTTTCTAGAGATATCACTTTGGCCAAGGAAGTCCACCACTCAACTCTCCCTTCAAGAAAGAACTTGCTATTCAGCTGCAAAAAGTGCAATTTAGCTGCCAGTCACCAGCTACAGGGCACTCAGGATCTGCCTCAACTTCTGAGTCATAGCCATGTTCTTCCTAGGAACCACAAGTCAGTGACTAAGCATGTTGGGAGTACTAGGCCTGGCCACTTCTGTACAACATGGGACTCCATTAATATAAAATAAGGCAATCTCTTCTGGAGATGACTGCATTGTGGTGTGAAGCAGAATTGGCTTCCTCCTCTTTTTATCTTTCTTTATTTTTGCCCTCCAATTAACTACTTATTCAGTAACTCTGCTTCAGTATCTGCTCCCAGAAGACATAAATGACATAACTAGTCAGCAACTGGTCATACCAGCGTGGACCTAAAGCTAGAGATGGAGTAATATGCTGAAATGGCCTTGCCATACAGAATTTAGGAGACTGAGCTCCTGAATTGGCGGTCAAATCCCAGCTCTACCACTTCGGACCTGTATAACCTTTATCAGGTTATGTAGCTTTTCAGTACTTTAGTTTCTTCATCTGTAAAATGAGGATTTTAGTATCAAAAGAGGACTAGATGAGATAATGCATTTTAAAGTATTTAACACAGTACCTGGCCCATAATAAATGTTCAAGAAATATTCATTATTATTTTAAACTTAGAGATGCCTTTTACAGAGGTTGTTGACTATAATAAAATAGAAGAAATTTTCACTTTCTTGAAGAATTTTTCAAAAGATATAATAAGGATGATAAGAATTAATCACCCCTAACTGGTTTGGCTCAGTGGACAGAGCGTTAGCCTGCAGATGCAAGGGTCAATTTTGGTCAAGGGCATGTACCTTGGTTGTGGGCACATACCCTGTAAGGGTGTGTAGGAGGCAGCTGATCGATGTTTCTCTTCATTGATGTTTCTAACTCTCTATCCCTCTCCCTTTACCTCTTTTTTTTTAATTAATAAAATATATTTCTTAAAAAGAATTTAAAAACATTTCAAACCCAACATTTCAGTTTCACCTCCTTTTATGACAAATATAGGTCCTCTGCTCTACCCAATGTCATCAACTTGCTGTCTCCTGCCCTGATTTGTTTCTTCCCATATTACTTTCTATCCCCTCACAGTGCCTATTCTTTGTCTCTCCATCAGTTTCTGCTAATAATCTCCTTCTCAAGTTGGTTGAGAACCAACCTTCTCCAGAGTTTCCTTGACTAGCCTCTCCTACTCTCCCCAACTATGATCATTCCTCTCTACTGGCAAAGTCTATGAATTGTATCATGTTGAAACTAGAGCAAAAGATAAACTAATTCTCAAACAATGTTGAAGAACTCTGTGCCTCCATTAGTAATGAAACAGACAAGACCTCTCCTCTCCCACCCAACCTTTGCCCAAGGCTAGAAGATGGTTGGCAAAGCAATGCTCATAAAAGCTTACTTACAGGATGAATGTTTACAGCTATGGATGCATGGTCAGTCTACAAACTATATTTTTTACATCCTCTTTTTATTATGTGAGCCTTAAAAAATAAATGTTTTATAAGACAACCCTGGTCATATAAAGAGGAAATGATTATATGGGGGGAAGTGTTTTACAATCATTTTAGGTATTGCAATTAACATGAAGCTGTTCCATAAAATAAAAGCCTGGTCTATAACACATCTAAAAACCAGTAGAAAATCATAATTAGAGACAGATGGCAAACATGGTATTCTTTCCTCTCACTACCTTGGACATATGATGTTCCCTTTAAAATGGCACTGAATGTGGTCACCCAGTGCCACAGAAGCTCAAAAGAATAAAGCTCTTTTTATGCCTATGAAGCTGATTTCCAACAAAATAACCAACTTCAAAAATAAGATGAACCTGATTTGTATGGAGCTGAATGTAATAAATATTTCTACATAGCTTAATATTTATATATATGCATTAATGCATATTGCAATACCTACCATAAAAGTACTACTAAAGCTCCAGCCATCCTGTACATTCAATTTGTGTACATTCAAAACCAAGGTTCCTACATCAAATAGGTTACAATCTTAGATGTACTTAAATATTGTAAATGAATAGTACCTAAAAAAATCCATCACACATAGAACAATACATGACAATAAAATTAATAGTCTACACGGATTTTTAATGGCTCCTAATATAATATGCCCTTTCCAGAACCCTTAGTACATACTGAAGTTCATTTTTACTGTATTACTTTGAGTAATTATGAATGGAAGATGGCTGATAAAATAAGCTTTAGAAGTATGTAATTGTTTGAAATATATTTACATAACCCTCTATAAGAGATACATCTCTATAAATGATAAACTACTAGATCTCAAACACTAAAAAGTAAAAGTGGTTTCCACACTGATTTTCAAGAATATACATTTTTATTGTTACACTTCAGTAAACTCTTTTACCAAAGTTGGCATCATTTCCAATTTAAAGCAAGTCAAAAGCAATTGTTTGTTTTTAATAAATATTATGCAAAAATAATTAATAGCAAATATAAAATAATTAACCTACATACTATCTCACTTTAAATATAATAAAAAACTATAAAATGTTCTAATATATTCCACTTAACAAATTTACATTTAAGCTTCTTCCATTTCCAGTATCAATACCCACTGTGCATTTAGAAAACTCATTGTGAAAACCTATTTTATTTAGTTTCTCAGAAAACTCCTACTTTACTTTGTGAATTCTGAGTTCCTACTTTTTCCCTCATCTTCACAATTAGTAATCATTGATCTCTCCAAAAGCAAAAACGTAATGCAAAGGGAAAGAATTGTTACAGTATGAAGACAAGAGAACTAATGTCTACTATACAAGGGAACAATACTCAAGACAAGATGTTTATCCTAAACATATAGCACAGGACAGTCATAATTAGCTCCCCACCACAGTGAGAAATATACATACACATTTTTTCAAATTAAGTCCTTAAATAAAGTCAAGTAACGTGAGCATCCTTGTAGCTTCAGGATTTGAAACAGCAATTAAATCAGAACCTTAAATCATTCATCTCTATAACTAGAAGAGCAAGTCCCAAGGATGTAAATCTCACTGAGTGAGACCAGAGATGCTGAATGTATAATTAATTGCTAAATTCCTTAATTTTACGATGTAGCGCCCAACACTGGCAAATAATGTGATTTATGAGCCCACGCTCTCACACTGCCTCACTAGAGTTAAGAACACGTAGATCCTAAATGCACCCTGTGGATGTGATTTCTCCCTGCCGAGAAGCATAGCAGGACTCAGCGATAGCAAGTCTGCCCCATCTACTTATTATTCAAGCACCAGTGTTTAGATACCTAAAGTGCCTGCTGAACACGGCAGCCAACGTCCCCCGAGGTGCCTCCGGAGCAGAGCCACATCTCTCCCCTCGGTGATTACTGAGTTTTAAGAAGGCAGGGAACACGGGGTAGAAATTCTCTCATGCAGCAGCAAGATAACTCTTCTCTCCTAATTTTCAAAAACAACAACCCCTCCCTATAAACAGACACACTCACCTTTTTTTTTTTCCTTAAGAAAGAAAGGAGGGTTTTTCAAATAGGTGCCTAAAACATGCCGCTTGCATGGGGATGAAAAATATATTTTTCCTCTACTTGCTGCTGGGCAAGACGCTTACAGATCTGATTAGAAAACCTGGATGTACATAAAAAGTAGTGCTTTCCATGAGATTCCTTTAGTGATATTTGCCTGCACAGGCACATGTGTAGATAAATAACACATATTTATGCAAACATGCCTACATTAACAAGGACACACACACACACACACACACGCACACAGATAGAGCAGTAATTAAGCTTATACTGTTCTATAAGCCCCCTTTGATATTTTTTCAGCATGCATGTTATTCAGAAGACAGGTTTTTTAAAAAAATTAATAAGCAGCTGTACATAATGCATGCCAAAGTGACATTTTTAGAGGAGCAAATACATTACCAGACGCATTTTGAAGTTTCTGGAACACCTGCAGGTAAAAGCAGGCTGTGAGTCAGATGCTGGCACACGGTATTCCTCAGAATCACAGAGCTCGCTGAGTCTGTGGGGGAATATGAGGCGAGTGTGAGGCTGGAAACCTTTTGAGTTGAGCTCACTGTAGGCATCAGAAAGCCTCAAAGAGGGGAAAGAAAAAAGCAGCCCACAGACAGCTAGATGAGAAACTTCTGGCACCTCTCCAGCTCAGGGATGAATTCTCTGTAATTTGGAGACGCATAGTGATGGAAATGAAAAGAAACTTGGATTTACGCGTGAATCTGCTCAGCCATGCAGAAATGGGCAGGTAACAGTCTCTCAGCTCATTCTGAAACAGTCACTCAGGAGCAAGACTGGATAAAAAAAAAAAAAAAAATTAACAGGCATCCTCTTTTGAAAAAAAAAAAAAAAATCAAAAGGCTACTCCAGCCAGCTTCCCAAGATGCCTTTACAAACTTCAAATGGATCATTCCATTAGCTATTTGTTGCACATTTTATTAATCCCAGGGCATAAATAAGCTAGAAAAATCTAATTCCTTTTATGTAGAAAACTGGATTTATTGCTTGTCTTTATAATGCACTTTAGTCATACAAAAACACAGATTTACTTACAGAGTTCTCATTTCTTGTGTAAAGCCAGTACTGTTTTTTCCAGAAAAAAAAAAAAGAAAGAAATACTAAAAGGCTTGTTCACAGCTTTTCAAGGAAGTGGGGAGTAAAAAATGTTTTAATACTCAGAAGCTGAGCTGAGTATGTATATATTTAAATGTGGAGTATGAAGCAAAGCGAGGATAAAGGAAGAGCTTTGAGCCATTCAGTGGCACATAAGAGAAATGGTTACATGCGAGCACTGAGCAGGCAGGTGGTTCAAGTCTATAAATATATACATAATTAAGGGAAGGGAGAAAAGAGCTTTGGCAAATTAAGTTCTCACAGACAATAGCTGTGATTCTGTCTGGGCTTACAAACAGACTAGCAATTTCTGGGGAGCACACGTGGACTTCACCTTGCCTGAAGAATTCCTCGGCTGATGAACAGAGAGTGAGCTCGGAAGCATCGCACACTGGCAATATATATTCAAATGTAATGAGGGGAAGGACAATATAACTATGAAAAATGTTGTCATGTTGCATTGTGCCTGCGTGGCTTAACTACTCATCCAACCTTGCAGATGGCCATTTGCCTGAATTCAATAGCAAATGTGCTATTGATGGGAGAGTGGAGGTGGGAGGCAGATTTTATTTGTTTTACCACACACACACACACACACACACACACACACACACCATTGGGAGGCTCAGAATTCAGGATAAAATGTCTGGGTTGAGTGTGGGGGTGATTCTTTCCAAGGCCACAGTTACCTGTAATAAGTTCAAAGTGGAATGAATAATGACCAATTAAGCTATTTATTATTTTAACTCTTGAAGTCAAGGGCAGAACAATGTTTATGTTTATTGATGGAGGGTCGATGACAAGACCACTAAAGATGTCCAGGCTCCCCTGCAAGCATGCTCAGTGAGCACGTATTGACTGAGCAGCCTCCAGGCCTCCTCACGTTCCAGTACCCAGTCCTTTTTATCTGAGAGATTTTTTCCCCTCATCTCTCCACTGCCATCTGCTTCATCTATTCAACACATATCCAGAGTAGATCTTCCACCTAATGTTATGGAGAACAAGGGACACTTAAGATAAGACCCACCCCTTTAGAAGCTTACCATTGTTAAAGGGTACCCCAATGGGTCTCAGAAAGTGGTGGGCATATAGAATTACTTACAAATACCCACACCCACTGCCATCTCTTCTTCCACTTTAGATTCACTTTTGGGGAAGTGAAGCAGAATTTGCACCTGTTTTGAAAAATCTCCCCAGGTGAGCTTAGGTCTCTTTCTTCACCCCATAAGGGGAACTACAATGCTAGGGGAATGTTGGAAGCCATTTAACCATGGAGAGGAGAATATGCCACCCACTGCAGCAGGTCAGCTTAAGCTACACAGCTACTCAAGCTGACCTGCATATCTGTGCCTCTGATCATGGGACCATGGAAGAGGCCCATGCCTACTCAGTGTAACCCACAGGCTGGGTCTGCAAGATTCTGAAGAGAAAGGTAGCGTCTTGGTTCATTCGTATAACTAATTGGCTGTTTCCTTATCTATACAATGACAGCACAGGGCAGGCAGTGCATTCTCTGAGGAAGCCAGTTCTATGCTGTTGGAACCTACACAAGTGCAATCTCAAGGTCAGAACTAAAAAGTCTTTGCTGCTTCTGGTTCCATTAATCAGCTTCTGAATTCCCCATCTTTACCCCCCCACCCTTGCCATTTCAGTCCTTAGAAAGAGAGAATTAAATTTGGGCAGTGGATCACCATTGTCTCTGTTAGGAAGAAGTGTTGTTCCATGCCAACCCAGAAGTCACTGGCTGACATGGATTAGCCTTCCTCAGGCTGGTGTCCACTCAACAGCTAATGGAGGTCGGAGGACAATGAGCCGCATCCGTCATCTCCCTAAGCACAGCACTATGATGCTGGGCTTGTGTCAGGACACCCAGCCTTCCACCAAAATGCTTGCAGCTCTCCCCTGCTCCTGGGATGGTGAGTTCCATTCTGCAGGGTTCATGGTCTTTTTGTTCACAATGGTCTGCTCAGTACACAACACAAGCCAGTTGGTTCCCATTGACTTGAATATGCTTTGGAATTCTGAATGTCACTGGAATGCTTTCTTTGCCTGGCTAAATCCTCCTCAGTCAAGGTCCAAACAAGTAAAGTAACTTCCATGAAAAAGCAAACAAACAAACAAAAAAACCTAAAAAGTCCTTACTTCTACTATCTTACTGATTAATGGTACCCAGTCAGCAAACAGAATCTCATGTGGGTGAGGCTGCAGCCGGAGAACTAGGGACCTAGCATCATAGGCGTATCCTTCTCTACTTTTCCACATGGAGGGCCACTGAAGAATTCAGGGCATGAGAACAAGCCTGTTATCTGTCAACTCCCTCCCTCCTCTGCTTCAGCAATGGCCTCAGCTCCAGTCCCAAAGGAAGCTTAGTGAGTGACAGATTCTGGAAACTTCAAGCAGAGTGGTCACCAAGCCAGAGGCCAGGCTGCCACTCAGCCCACAGCATCCATGGCCAATCACCTTCAAATACTGGTAAGTGTGAGAGCCTGAGGAGGAAGGTTTAGGGCTTAGAAAAACAGCTCCTCCAGCCTCTAGTTCTAATCTTTCATGGTGTCCCATGCCACTCCTCAGAGGTATAGAGGAGACTATGGCCATCCGACTCCATCCCTCCTTGTCAGCACATGCTCACTCTGTAGGCCACCCAAGGTGACAATAAAAATAGTTCAGAGGGGAAGCTCCCCCAGCCTCCCCCATTGACTACTCTGAGCTAAGCACCACTGTCACTCACTCAGGAAGACGCCAACCTTTGTAGATATTTTAAAGACAAAGTTCATGCAACCAAATAAAAGATAAACTTTTTTATGTAATAACTATACTAAATAACAGAAGTTTTTTATCTCCTCTAGTTCTCGATTAAGAAAATCGGGAAAGCTCAACCCTGAAGCACTACAGAGAGAATGAAGACAGACAGACCTGAGTATGTAGACAGGATTCTCTACGTAGTAGCCACATGTTTTTGAATAGCCATTTAAATTCCCTCTTTCTATTCTCTCTGTAAAAGACAAAAAGACCTACCTTATCAAGTTATTTGGGGAGTTAAAATCTGTTATGAAATGTTCTGGCTCCAAAAACAGATATTGCTTCCCTTTTAGAAAAATATTCTTGGTTGGAACTTTAATTAAAATCCAGGGTGCTCTAAAAAAAAACAAAAAAAAAACAAAAACTTAAGACTATAGCTATACCACAGTTATCCCTCCTTGATTGTCAGCACAAGAAATTGTCAGCACAGCACAAAATTATTATTACTCAAGAAATAGGAATTTGAATTATAATAAACAAAAGTGGTGTTGAGCATTGAACCATGAACCAGGAGGTCACTGGCTCCATTCCCAATCAGGGCACATGCTTGGGTTGGGTTGTAGGCTTGATCCCTAGTAGGGGGTGTGGGTGAGGTAGCTGATCAATGAGTCTGTCTCATCAATGTTTCCATCTCTCTATCCCTCTCATTTCTCTCTCTAAAGATCAATTAAAACATTTTTTAAAGTGTCCAAATGCCTTCAATTAGCCTGTGAGGACAGAAACTGTCTTAATCATTTTTATATCCCTCATACCCACTATGCCATGTGTCTCTACATTCATTCCACAAGTTTTTATCTAGCACTTACCACTCCCATATTCCTACCTAGGTACCAGGGACACAACAGAGGACAAGACAGGTGGCTCCAGCCCCCATGTTGGTGGCTCCGGCCCTGCTATAGATAGGCTCAAGCTACACGTCACAGCCCAGTGAGGGACATGAAAGTTAAGTACTTCCATGAATAACTAAAATATATGTCTTAGTCATACCAAGTTGCCATAGCAAAATACCACAGCCTGGGTGGCTAAAACAACAGACACTTATTTCTCACAGTTCTGGAGGCTGAGAACCCTGAGATCAAGGTGCTGGCAGATTCGGTTCCTGGTGAGGGCCCTCCTCCTGACTTGTCTACAGCCACCTTCTCACTCATTGTTCACATGGCAGAGGAAGCTCTTCCTCTTCCTACTAGGATACTAATCCCATTAGGGGGCCCTATCCTCATCTCGTCTCCCAAAGGTCTCACCTCCAAATACCATCATATTGAGGTTTAAGGTTCCAATAATATGAATTTTGAAGGGACACAAACATTCTCTCCATAACAAAATATAAATGAGTTAACTAATTAGTTAATGGTAAATCCTTTTGGGTTTTTGTTTACAACAGCCCAGACAACGTCAAGGGCACAAATGGAAGAAAATCTGTGACTGTTTCTGATAATTACCTTCAAACCTGAGACTCGGGGCTAATGGTTGGCCCTCATTAAGTGACAGGCTTCTCCCTAGGAGCTGTCGCAGGGGAGAGCTAGCCCAGGCAGCCTTTGATCTGTCCTCACCATCCCTTCCATCCCACCGGCAAAGCGTTCTGGTTCCTGGCCTCACTGTTTTACATCCAAGCTGTCTGAAATGTAATAAGCTTTTTAAAAAGAGCACCCTGGATTTTAATTAAAGTTCAGGGACCCAACCAAGGGTATTTTCTTCTAAAAGAGAAGCAATATCTGTTTTTGGAGACAGAACATTTCATAACAGAGGTTTCATATATTGTGATGAGTGATAAAGAGTGACATGGAATGAACCCTCAAAGGAACCAGACTGCAGGATGGATATGTGTATCCATCTGTGTGTGTATAATACTGAGCCTGCA